CATATGTTTAAGAATTACCATTTTATTGTTAAAAATATACGTAAGGTTTGCAGGAAATCTTAAAAACATAGCTTCAAATTTTTATTGGTCAGATTAATAAACGACTTCCTGTTGCATGATCGACCAATCAGCAGCTGTCAACTCACCGTGGTTGTGTCTGGCCTTCTGAGCGACATCCTGAGCGATGAAACTGCCGCTGCCCCCCAGAGGAAGCAGACAGAACAGCAACCACAGCATCCTGCCTCCGTCTGACAACCTGTCCACACAAACAGAGACAAGCGTGAGCTGAGAAAGTCCTGCTGTTCCATCCATGTCTCCGCGGCGACGGTGGGAAAGTCTAGTTTCAGTCAGACGTCCTGCAGGAACAGAAGCCCTCAGAGACATTAGGATTTCAAAGGCAGCAGCGTGATTTCCTCTCAGCTGCAAACTGAGCAGCCGTGACACGGCATCAACCCCCCCCAGCACGATCAGCCATGAATGACATGGTTGCATGGTCACATGTCCCACTGGGGGAGCGTGTTTTCCCCAAACAAAACAAACAACAGAGGCTGACTTCTGGAAAAAAGGGTTTTTTTTCCAGTTCACTGGAAAAAAATCAAAATCTAAATAAATATTTTTTTCTCTAAATAAGTGCATTTGTTCTTGAGTTGAGTAGATAAAAGATATTTTGTCAATGGAACAAAATAATATACATTTAAAATAAGAAAACAATTGCATTGTTTTATTTCTACTGCATGTTATCTAATTATCTTATTTTAGGAGTAAAAATCCTTATTATATTAAATTAATGGTAAATACACTTAATTTAAGACATTTTTACTCATTTCTAGATGGTTTTTCCAGTGCATTAAACACAACATGTCAGTAGAAAGAGAAACTTCTTTGCAAAATCACACAAACGCAGATTTTTCTAAACCTCAATCATCCCCTGAGAACATTCGTTATGTCCCGGCTTACTAAATAATCCCAACAAGGGAGAACAATCTTCTTACAGGAGCGTTTCGCTGTTTATTTCTCACAGATACACATTTAAGCGGTTTAAAATGTTTTCACAGATTGATTTTCTTTACATTTCTTTCAGCACACAACAAAAAAGGAAGGGTGTAAACAAACGTCAGAGAAAACGATTCAATTATCTTTAATCTGGAAGGAAGAGACAAACCGTTTCCTGATGTCCCTGAAAGCAACACAAGTGGGCCAGCTCTTAAACACCCCTTAAAAAAACGTCTAAGGTTATCAAGTGATATGGAAATATATATATATATATATATATATATATATATATATATATATATATATATCTTATCAAATGTATATTTGCAGTTTGCTAATCAGGCTAAAGCTACATTTGTTCTTGTTCATTTTAAAATACAGAGGATTTAGACTATGTTACGCTAAAGAAAACATAAACGTCCAACATATTAATTTTATTTTTTCTATGTCATAAAAACCTGGAGATTTAACAGTAAATTCCAACATTTCTGGGGACAGTCCTTGTTTCAGTGCCAGAAATGTGTCAACAATGAGGAAAATATTGCATTTAGGTCAGGGTTCGGCAAGCCAAACTGTTCAAGGAGCCATA